TGAGATCATGACCTGAGCCGAACGCAGACCGCAGACGCTTAACAACTGAGCCACCCAGGCGCCCCTGAATACTAGCCTTTATCTGATATGTTCTAACAGTTTTTCGGTGGAGTCTTTAAGTTTTAATACATATAATATTTGTCATCTGCAAACATTGACAGTTTTACTTCTTCCTTTCTGATTTGGATGCTCTTTATTTCTTTTTCTTGACTATTTGTTCTGGCTGGGACTTCCAGTACTATGCTGAATAAAAGTAATGAGAATGGACATCTTTGTCTTCTTCCTGATCTTATTGGAAAAGCTTTCAGCTGTCCACCGTTGAGAATGATTTTAGCTGTGGGTTTGTCACCTGTGGCTTTTATTATGTTGTGATATGCATTTATATCCAAATTTTTGAGAGTTTTTATCATGAAAAGATGTTGAATTTTGTCAAATGCTTTTTCTGCATCTTTTAAGATGATTGTATGATTTTTCTTCCTCATTTTCTTAATGTGATATATCACATTAATTGATTTGCTTATAATGAACCATCCTTGCATCCCAGGAATAAATCCCACTTGATCATGATGTATATTCCTTTTAATGCACTGTTGAATTTGGTTGCTAATATTTTGTTGAGGATTTTTGCATCTATGTTCATCAAGGATATTCGTCTATAATTTTCTCTTCTTGTAATATCCTTATCTGCTTTTGGTATCAGGGTATGCTGACCTTGTAAAATATACAATGTTTCCTTATTGATTTTCCTTATTTGATTTTTTTTATTTTCTGTCTAGATGATCTATCCATTATTGAAGGTGGAGTATTGAAGTCCCTTACTATTATTGTATTGCTGTCTATTTTTCCCTTCAGATCTATCAAAATTTGCTTTACATATTTAGTTGCTCTGATGTTTGGTACATATTTATAATTCTTTTATCCTTTTGATAAATTGATCTCTCTATCATTATAAAATGAACTTTGTTTCTTGTTATAGTTTTTGGCTTAAAGTCTATGTATTTGATATAAGTATAGCTACCTCTGCTTTCTTTTGGTTTTCATTTGCATGGAATATCTTTTTTTATTCCTTATTTTTAGTTCATTTATGCCCTTAAAGCCAAAGTGAGCCTCTTGTGGACAGCATATTGTCGGGTCTTGTTTTTTAAACCACTCAGCCACTCTGTGTCTTTTGTTTGGAGAATTTAGTCCCTTTACATTTAAAGTAATTTAATAGGTATGGACTTAGTTTTGCCATTTTGTTAATTGCTTTCTGGCTAGGTTGTACTTCCTTTGTTCCTCTCTCCCTCTCTTGCTCTCTTCCTTTGTGATTTGATAATTTTCTATAGTAGTATGCTTTAATTCCTTTGTCTTTTGTGTATAGACTACCGGTTTTTGCTTTGTGATTTCCATGAGACTTACATAAAACATAATTAAAGCAGTCTGTTTTAATTGAAAACTTAACTGTAAGTACATACAAAAGCTCTGCATTTTTACACACCACTCACCCTCCATTTTATGTTTTTGATGTCACAGTTTTAACCTTTTAATATTGTGTATCCACTAATAAAGTATTTCTGTTACAGTTGTTTTTAATACTTTTCTCTTTGACCTTAACATTAGAGTTTTAAGTGATTTACCAACCACTGTTACAATATTAGGGTATTCTAACTTAATTACATATTTACTTTTACTAGTGAGTTTTATGCTTTCATTTGTTTTCCTCTTCCTAAATAGTGTCCTTTCATTTCAGCTTGAAGAACTCCTTTAACATATCTTGTAAGGGCAGGTAGTGATGATGAAATTCTTCAACTTGTGTTTGCCTGGAAAACTCTTTGTCTTTCTTTCAGTTCTGAAGGACAACTTTGCTGGGTAGAAGATTCTTGGTTGGTAGTTTTTTTTTCTTTTAGCACTTTGAATTATCACCCCTCTGTCTTCTAACCTGTGAGGTTTCTGCTGAAAAATCTTACACACTTATGGGAATTCCCTTGTATGTAGCAAGTTGTTTTTCTCTTGTTATTTTTAAGTTTCTCTTTTTGTCTAACTTTTGACAATTTATTTTTAATGTGTCTTAGTTTGGCTCTCTTTCAGTTCATCTTTTTTGGCACTTTTGGGGTTTTCTGGATCTGGATGTCTGTTTCTTTCCCCAGGTAGGGGAAATTTCCAGCCATTATTTCTTTGAATAAACATTTTGCCCCTTTCTTTCACTTCTCTTTCTGGGACCCCTACAGTGAATATATTGCTCTTCTCGGTGGTGTCCTCTGAGTCCCTTATGCTATCTTCAGTCTTTTTCATTCTTTTTTCTTTTTGTTCTTCTGACTGGATTAATTCCACTGCCCTGTCTTTCAGTTCACTGATCCTTTATTCCTCTTGATCTAGTTATCTGTTGAAGTCCTCTATTGAAATTGTCAGTTCAATTATTATATTCTTAGCTCTATGAGTTCTGTTTGGTATTTTTTAATATTTTATATCTCTGTTAAAATTCTCACTTTATTCATGCATTTTGAACTCTGTATCAAATAAATCACTTACTTCCATTTCGTTAAGATTGATTCCTGGAGATTTATCTTGGTCCTTTGTTTGGAACATGTTCTCTTATTTCTTAATTTCCCTTGACTCTCTGTGTTGCTTTCTGTGCATTAGTAAAAGTAGACAGCTCTCCCAGTCTTGACGGCCTGGTCTCCTGTAGGCGATGAACCTCATCAATCAGCCTGACCCAAGCTTTTGGTTGCCTCTCAGAACTTTGTGACTGTCCAAGCTGCTGTCTTTATTCTTACTGATTCCCAGTAGTTGATAGTGTGCTAAGACCCATCAATGTCCCAAAGGGGAGGATTTCAGTCAGCACGTAAATGGGGGCTGATTAGAAACTGGACCTTCAGGCAGCAGCTGGGAAAATATTTAGTCAAACCCCTTCCAGGGAGAAACTGGGAGATGAGCATTTTTGCCTGCTCTATATGCAATGAGTCAGGGTGTATAGCCATGTGGTGTGCCCCTATGCCTATTTAAAAACTTCTTCTTTGTTTGCTATAGTCCTGTGGGACTCATGAATGCAAGCCCTGTTGGCTATCAGAGTGAAGTGATGGGAGCCAGTACATTTAGTGGCCCCTGTAACAAGTGGGACACTAGAGGTGAGAAACGCCTTCCAGGGCGATATTGGAAACTTGGTTTTATTGTTAGAGTAGGATGGAAAGAAAAGACAGAGGAAGTGCCCAATAGCTCTTTCAGGCTACAGGAAGGATCATAATCAGCACTGTTCATGCTAATTAGAAGTTGGACCTTCCGGTAGCAGCTTGTAAATTATGCAGTAAGACTCCTTCCAGGGAGACGGGGTAAAGGGTTTTTTTGTCTGCTCCCTCTGTGCTCAGTTCTGGAGAGATAGATGTGGTAAGTGTTCATGTGCCTATTACCAGCTACTTTTTGTTTCCTATATTTCTGTGGCACTTATCAATGTAAGCCCCACTGGCTTTCAAAGCTTAGTGATTTGGGGGCCTGTCCCTTGGGTAGCAGTCATAAAAGTTTGGGCACTAGATATATGGTCCCAATCCTTCACTTCTCAGAGAGAAGTTTGGAGTTGGGGATTCCCTCCAATTGTATGGTGCTGTGCAGTGGGTGAGGTTTGTGGTGAAAATGTGTCTCAGCCTTTACTATCTTTTAGATGGGGTATTTTTTTTAGTTTTCCAATGTGTAGAAGTCACTCAACTAGTTTCTGGATTTCTCTCAGAGGGAATTGCTCTGTGTGTAGCTGCGTAGTCAGAGCACCCAGGGGAGGAGGGAAATTTAGGAGCCTCCTATGTTGCCATCTTGATCTGGAGTCTATGACTGTTTTTATTATCTAAATTTCAACTACTGGAATTATTGTTTTATTCTTTCTTCAGTCTATTGTTAAAGGTTGTCAAGAAGTGTTGTTTTTTGAGCTTGAAGTTCTTATATATAATTATGCAAACCACTTGGGATATTGTTATTTACTTTTTAAATAATTTTTTAGGGTGAAAGAGAAAAGAAAAGCTTCACTTTTAATTTAAAACCTTTTCTCAACAATTTAAATATAGACAGAGTCTGTTTTTTTATAAATTGGATGTTAGAGATCATTTACTCTTAGTTATTTATATTTCTACTTTCTAGAGAAATTGAGTCATATCAAGAATGTAGAAATTGTTTCTTCTCTCCATTTTACTCGTTGTAGGATGATCCATTCTCTGCCCTGGACATTCACTTGAGTGATCACCTAATGCAGGAAGGGATTTTGAAATTTCTCCAAGATGACAAAAGGACACTTGTTCTTGTGACTCACAAATTACAGTATCTAACACATGCTGACTGGGTAAGAGTTTAAAAGAAATTTCATTAATTTTAATGTTATAGTCATATAAATAGGGACATTAAGAAATGCTGTCTGAGATAAAATAATTCATTTGGCCAGTTAAGGATTTTTGTCACAGTTATGCTAATATGTGCTTTCCTTAGATCATAGCCATGAAAGATGGAAGTGTATTAAGAGAAGGGACTTTGAAGGACATTCAAACCAAAGATGTTGAGCTTTATGAACACTGGAAAACACTTATGAATCGGCAAGATCAAGAATTAGAAAAGGTAATTGTTCATAAATCAGAAGAGTTCAGAGTCCACTTTAAAAGAGTAATGAATATACTGTATAATTATTAAAAATTTGTTTAAAGGAGTATTACCATTTAATATTTGATGATATAATGGTCCTCATTTGAAACCCAAAGTAATTGTATATTTGTATGTCATTAATAAATAGGTTACTTTGGGGGCACCTGGGTGGCTCAGTAGGTTAAGTGCCTGACTTCAGCTCAGGTTGTGATCTCAAGGTCCTGAAATAGAGCCCTGCGTCGGGCTGTACGCTCAGTGGGAAGCTTGCTTCTCCCTCTCCCTCTGTCCCTCCCCCTGCTCGTGCATGCACATGCTTGTGCATGCTCGCTCTCTCAAATAAATAAATAAAATCTTAAAACAATAAATAAGCTACTTTGAAACAATAAAATTCTAATTATATCTTTTGGAGGAAGTGCTCTTAGGTTTTTAGGAGATTTTGATTTTAATTTGAACCATATTATAATTATATGTGTTTAAAACTTAAACTTTGCTGAAGCATGGTATATCATTATTTAATCTTAATTTTTCTTCTATGTATCTTATTTTATTCATATATAATGTGAGGATATTTTCACTCACCACCTACAAATACAGGGTCATGGACGAAACAAAATCTAAGATGATTTTGAAAGAAGGAAGAGCTGTGAGCTGTGGGTGAAGTTGTTAAGCATGTCTGGAATAAGGCTGGGAAGTGAAGGAAGGTGATCAGGAGGAAATAAAAATTAATTTTTACATTGATATAGTTTTTAAGTTTAAAGCCTTTTTTTACATAAGTTCATTTGATTTTCACAAACCCCCAGAAAAAAGCAAAGAAAATATGGGAAATAAGTAAAGAAAATATGATTTCACTTTTATAGGTGAGAAAACTGAAGCCGAGAGAGGTTAAGTAACTTATAAGTTGTGCAGTACATATTATAAGTGGTACTAGTTGGACTTAAATCCAGGTCTGTATTCAGTGTAAATCTGGTGTAATGTTATGTCTGATATAAATATAACATTGAATGAGGTGATAATGGAGTCAGAGACCAGACTGAGAGCAATGAAAGAACAACTTGTGGTTGAGAGGTGAAATTATAAATTGTATTAGTAAATTTTTTAAATGTTTTTTGACTTGAGACTAGAAAGTGTCCAGAATTTAGTACTCCTGGCCAGGACTCAGCATTATAAAATGAAATTTTTGTATCAACAAATTCCTGAGTATATCAAGAAATTAAAATGCATTATTTTTATAAAAGAATAAAAAGATCTCTGTTCCAATAGAGAGAGGAAGATAAAAAGTCAGACAGACCCTAGGATTGCTCTGTCTCCTGTGGATTTGCCAAAGACCTCAAAAGCAAACTACCTAAGGAAGAAAAGATATTTGTAAAAGTAGAAGTGAAGTAGAATGGGACACAACACAGAACCATTTAAATGAGGATATTCATCAAAAAAATTATAAGGTACCATCAGCAAGTGCCCACTTAGGAATTATACTGTGAGAAACTTGACTGGGATGGCTCCAAATGACATTTTTTACAGTGACCTAGATGCCAGGGACAAAAGAATATGACGTAAGCTTAAGGAGTGGGGCCACTTATGGTTTACTTTGGAAAGAAGATTTGGGAAAAAAAGAGAGAGTTGTTGGCTTGATTTTATAGTAATACTGACTGTTAAACAAGCCAGGAAGAAAGTCCATTAAGTTGTATTTAGAAATGAAGTGATCACTTGAGATAGCATAACTCTATAATTAAAGACACATTACAGGGTTATAAATCAGCTGGCGGAGATACAGAGCAAATCAGGGTGTGGACAAAGCGAATGCAATTGTGAGGTTGAACAGTGGCCAGTAGAAGCCAGAAGGAACCATGCACCTGTCCAGAATCCTCACCTGGGGATGCAGGGAGGTTACTGCCACCTAGGGAAGAGCAGGCACTGGAAATTCATCTGAAGGCAGTGAGATTCACACTGGGGGGAAACAGTTTCTTGTTCACTTTGTTATGTGGCAGGATGGGGTGTTTGCCAAGAGCACTGGTTCTCAACCAGGGTCTTGTTTGCTTTCTAGGGGACATTTGGCCACATTTAGAAACATTTTTGGTTGTCACAGCTGGGGGGCAGGTGCTACTAACCTCTCGTGGGTAGAAGACAGAGATGCTGCTAAACATCTTACAGTGCAGCCCCCACAACAAAGAGTTATCTGACCAAAATGTCAATAGTGCCAAGGTTGAGAAAGGCTGACCTAGAGCCAGAGTAGATCAAGTAAGCAGAGAAGGCTGGTGAAACAAAACATCCTGTCACTGGGCTTTAGACACAACTCTCAGTTTGAGGCTAAGGTGTTAACAAAAGAATATGTTACAAGGATAGCAATTAAAACTACAAGAAGGAAGAGGAGATAACACTTTGAGCTGATTTAAATATTATTAAAAATTCTAGCTTGGATGACACCTTTATCTTCCTGATGTTTTTAAGCAAAATAAGCTAACATCATTTGATATCTCCTGCCCCAACCCTCACCTTTATCTGATCTGTAACAGGCATTCAAGAAATACTTATTAGATAAATGAAACAAAATTCACATTTACTTAAGCCAAATATCATGTAATTTAAAATATTTAACCTGTAATGAGCTTAATATGAGCACTTACTTATAAGAAAAATGAATAAAGATTTTTTTAAGTATCTGAGATGTTCCATCTTTTGCTCACGTAGCAGGGAGAGTTGAACAAGAACCAAATCTGCTGTTTTCCAATGTGCAGGGTTATTTCATTTTATTACCCTATATGCAAAGGATCGAGTCAGCTTTAATTTTGTATTTAATCTCACGTACGAGCTTTAGTTTTCATATCATTAGACAAAATTAAAAGCTGATATGAAATTGTCTCTGAAAAAAATGCTATTCAAGAGACACTTTAGTTTTCATTCTTTTTTAACCAAGAATCTGGAAGCAATAGAGCCTTCTAGCAAATCTCCTAAATCACACATGTTGTATAAGGTCAAAACGAAACAACAAAAACCACGATCACTACCTAGAGACTGATCACTAAGGGTTTATTTCTTTATTGATATAACAGTCAAACAGTGATGTGTGTGTGTGTGTGTGTGTGTGTGTGTGAGAGCGTATACAGAAAGCCCTCAATTTACCATGGATTCCAAAAGTTTGTGGGTCAGTTGTTTGGAACTCAGAATGCATTTCCCCATAGAAACAAGGCTACGTTTAGTTTCCCAAACTGTCCTGCAGCAGCGGATTTAACCCACAATGTGTCAGAACTGATACTACCACTCCAGTTCTGAAGCCAAGGGAACTAGGGTATTGGAAGCAGAGGAATGGAGAAAATGAAATCCTGCTCCCTGTCTTGAGCACACAACCCTGACAAATTCACAGTTTGTTTGGGGCATGTTTCCCTTCTCCTTCTGCATATTTCCCCCTCCTAGGGCTTTCTCTTGAGCTGCTAGGCACCTAAGTACCCTCATTTTTCATTTGCTTCAAAATTACCTACCTTCCTTCACTGCCTATTGAAGTCCATTTCTTTTGTGCAGCTACCCTAGTGAGATGCTAAGAAAACTCACTCTGATTTAGTAATTTATAATAAGAAGGGATGAGTGATAGTGCTCTACCCAGTCTAGAACTGCATGCATTGTTGAAGGAAATTATTTATTAACATGGTTAAATCTTTAGTTAGAGAATTACAGGGAGTATCTGAAAGTGATGTAAAGATAAAATAAGTAGTAGTGGTGGAATTATGTTTTAAGACTGGAGGAGGTGTCCCTGCTCCTGGGGTTGACGCCATTGTGTTGTTGCTACTTGCCCTGGCTTCTTACTGCCCCAACACTTCTGAGCTCTGAAGCCTTACAAACCTCAGACTTTGCCTCACAACTACTCCTACAACAGGAGTCGTTGATCTCTAGAGAGAGCAGAGAGCTCAAGTCTGGTATAGATAATTAATGATTGGTATGTGTGAGTCACTGATGGGTAAGTCAAAACCTTCCTAGGGCTGTGAGCTCCTTGAATGATGATATCATGGTGTTTACTGTAGGATATGGAAGCTGACCAAACAACTTTGGAGAGGAAAACCCTCCGAAGAGCCATGTATTCAAGAGAGGCCAAAGCCCAAATGGAGGATGAAGATGAAGGTAGATCTTTTTCTTATATCTGAAACATTCAAGTGGGACATGACTGCTTTACCTTGGCTACTGATGCACAAGTATGCCTGTGAAGAATAAAAAGCCACTTTGCAGGGAGAAAAGAGCTAAGCCAAATATGTAATACTGAAAATGAAAAGAATAGGAGCAAAGAAAAGTGTATGTAATCCATCAACAGGCATCGTGAGCGGTTTCTAAGTGTGTCTTAGTGTATTTGTGCTGTGCGCGAGAGAGGGCTGAGAGGAGAAGGCCCTGTTTCGTAAATAGATTTAGACCCTTGTTCATATAAATTGGAAAGTCTAGTAGAATGACCATATCAAGTTATTAATAAAATGTCAGTCCTTCAGAAATAAACAATAAATGAGGAATATGAAGAAAATACTGTTTTGAAATATTTATACTTGAATCGTTCAGTAAGTCCTCAGGGAATTTTCATGACAATACAGCAACAAAGAATAAGAGAATTCCACCAAAGCCATTTGTTATGTTTCAGTTTTCTAGATCTAATAAGGTATAGTGGAGAAAAAAAGATTTCCTGGAAAATCGAGGAATAAGATGAAATAATTACATTGCCTTGACATTTGTTGCCAAGAAGTTTGTAAGATAAATCTCATTTAAGTCCATAGGGTAAAAATGCACTATACTTCATGTTTCTTATACAGTTTTTGCTTAAGACTGCATTTCTACAAGCCAATTAAGAGAGAAAATTGTAATTTCAAGGCAAAGAATACCAAAATATGCTACCTTTATATTTCAGATAAGTATTCAGTATTTCAATGAATACTCATTGAGAGAGTGAATGAATGAACAAGTGAATGAATAGATTTTGCACTTCAGTTCCTTAGATTTAAAAATATTTTTAAAAATGTCTGGTGCTGTAAATAGACATCAGCTTCTAGAATTTAAAACCAGTTATTTCTAATGCACTCTAAAAGTGGAGTCATGCCCAGTTACTTTCTCCAGTGTTCCAGTGGTTTATATATGGCTGGATACTCTACCCTGGGCTTGTTGCGTTAATCCATTCTCTCGGGCATAAAATAAGGTAGTACTACTTTCTTACAGAATAAAATGATGTTAATGCATATTAAAGAGCACAATATGCTACATATTTCCCACTAGGTTGCTATTCCTGGTCCTGGTCAGTATGTCTGTTTCTAGCCACCAGGAAGGGAAGAAGGGAAGTAGTTGCACATATTTTTCTTAACTCCTTACCCCTGGCCACTTCATTACATGTACAGATTAGGTACTGGGAAAAGGATGAAATCTTGTATTTAGCTGGGCAGCCATAGGCCAGTTGAAATTTCAATTAATATGGAAACAGAGAATGGATGTTGGGGAGACAGTTAGTAGTCTGCAAGTGTCTAGCACTTTCACCATGCAGATTTCTAATCCTGTCCTCACATACTGACCCCACACTTACCAAAGGACATATTATCTGAGACCTGTTCATTTACTGCATCCAGTTCGAAATACTAGGATCTTTGGTGATGCTCATTCTTCCCATAGTATCCATATTTAGATCTCTGTGGTCTGATAACCTGTAAACCAAAGTTACCTATCTTTGCTACCCACAACCTACTCAATATAGAGTAGTGGAGTATATAATAGGATAACTGCAATGAAAATGGTCTTTGGAAAAGGAAAGGATGGGAAATGCACAACATTCACGAGACCGCACAAATAATCAAATTTTGCCAGTGAGGAAATGCTGAAATTCCATCTTCATTATGGAGTATGTTCTTAGGATAACCATCTTGGAGTTTCCAGATGGTTTAAACATCTGAGAGGAACTCCCTGACTCTTGTCCTCTGTCCTCTGCTTTTGCTGTGTGGAAGGTTTCTTCTTGCTCATGCTCCTCCATGACCACATCTAAGACGGACCATAGAGAGCATAGATTATGCCTTCTTGGGCAATCCACAAATTTCAGAGTCTATTTCCTTCTGGTGAAGTTTTACAAATACAGAAATTTAGAGTTCAAAAAATTATGTGTCTAAAGGCCAGACCTGTGGTTTTATTGGCAATGCAGTTCTTTTGATAACTTTGTAAACTTCTAGTCTACACTTCCTGTCAATTTGATGTGTAATAAACTGGCAAATTATCTCATCCAGACACAGATGTTGCTTATTGTTTTGCTCATTCATTCATTCATTCGTTTTTCACCAATTTTTTAAATGAGGTTTTTCCCGGCTTAAAGCATTTAAAATTTCTAAGACTAACTTGTATTTCTATAAATCTGAGGGAGATTTTTATATGCTTTTTCATGAGATAATACAAATTTTATCCACTTGATGAGGAAAGCTTAAACTAATATTTTACATGCAGAGGAAGAAGAGGAGGAAGATGAGGATGATAATATGTCCACTGTAATGAGGCTCAGGACTAAAATGCCATGGAAAACCTGCTGGCGGTACCTTACTTCTGGAGGATTCTTCTTGCTCTTCCTGATGATTTTCTCTAAGCTTTTGAAACATTCAGTCATTGTGGCCATAGACTACTGGCTGGCCACATGGACTTCGGAGTACAGTATAAGCAATTCTGGAAAAGCTGATCAGGTATAGTGAATTCCGTTTTTAAATCATCAAGGAAATAAATGTTGAGATTAACATGATACTCGTTTGTTTAGTTTGATATTAATAGCCCAAATGCCATAGGACTTTTGTAATGATTCAGTAAGTTAATTAAAATAGGACCTGAAATGGAATGACCTGTCAAAATGGAATCTATTAGGATCACTTTTGTGTTTTAAAACTTATCATAAGAAACATTTAAAGATAATGTTTGGATTTGGATTCAAGAGAGGTATATGCACATGATGTGTGTGTGTGTGTGTAACATATACACGGGACTTTTGTGTTATTGTTTTGATGGTATTGATTTTAACTACTGATGCCAATGTATTAGCTGGTTATTCTGAGATTAGGACTAGGAAGGATGAGCTCTACAGTATAGAAAGCCAAGAATATTTCAAACCTGAAAACAAATTCTAATGCTTCATCTGCCTTTAGGCAAACCTTGGAAGAGAGTGAATGAAACAAGGAGGGACATGGTGGGGGTACTGTCTTTAGTTTCCAAAAACTGCACTCCTTCAACTCTCTAAATTGATACAAGATAATGAAGTTGAAAATATTGTCTGACTTTGATATTTTGTGTTCTAGTAAGAAAAAACTGGTAATTTCATATGTGGGTTTTTTGGTGTTGGTTGCTTTTTAGACTTACTATGTGGCTGGATTTAGCATACTTTGTGGAGCAGGTATTTTTCTCTGCCTTGTTACATCTCTCACTGTAGAATGGATGGGTCTCACAGCTGCCAAAAACCTTCACCACAACCTCCTCAATAAGATAATTCTTGGACCAATAAGGTAAAAAAGTAATCATTTCTTATTCTCCTACACAAAATCATAAAAACATACATCTTTAAATTTAAGTGAAATGTGAAATTTTAGAGAGTGTATTTGGTCTTTGAGCAAATAAATAGGAACCTTCTCATTTTCCCGACTCTAAGATGTCCATTAGCAATGCTCAGGTTCCAGACAGTTTACTATTATCATACATTCCAATCTGTTTATTGCCTAGATTCTTTGATACCACCCCCCTGGGACTGATTCTCAATCGCTTCTCAGCTGATACAAATATCATTGATCAGGTGAGTGCCTGAGTTACTTTCAAGTTCAGAAACAATTTTTTCAGTATAAACTATATAACATTTAAGATAAAACATGATTCCTGTTAACAATAGAGGATGTCTAAAACTTAAAGCCTATAAGCACACTTGTCAATATTATATGCATAACTGATTTATAGAATAAAAACTTAAAGGAAAAGCTTAAATTGAAATAATTTGTCATGTAGAAGAGGATACTTAGAGAATGAGCAGGAAATAAAGGGAAATGGCAAAGAATAAACTAACATTTAATTTTTTATTATAAAAAGGAATCATTTTGATCAATGTTGTCTCTCCATTCACAGCAAAATTCTTAAAAGTTTAGTATTGATGCAGAATGTCTCCCAGGAGCAAAGGATGGAATGCCAAGCTGTCTTAGATGTCCTTTACTTCAACTAGACTGGCTCTTTAATAAGAAAAGTTTTAGACGGTGTGATATTTTAGAGAATATTCCAAGGATTCCCAGTTTAGTTTTAGATCCCATTGCCTTTCTAGAAGTTTGTCCTACAATTAAAGTCCTCAAACTCTAAAATTGGATCACTCCAAGAACAGACCCTTAGGATAATGGACAAAAGAATCCATCAAATCCAACACTTGTCTTTTCTGACTTTTCAGAGTTACCTTCAGAATACCTAAATTACCCTCAGTTTAGGAAAAGAATGCTTGATGCATGCAGCTGACTAAAAAGTATACTGAAAAATTTTGATGTTTTCTTTGGTGGTTAGTCACACTGCATCTAAAACACTTCATAAGGAATATGTATGGGAGAAGAAGAAACAAAACAGTCCTTATTTGGAAGATGATATGGTTGCCACCTAAAAAGTCCAAGACAATTAGTACAATAAAAACCAGCTAGAAAGTTCAGAAGAGTATCTGCATAAGGTATATGATATAAAATTCAATAACTTCTCTACACCAATTAAAAAATTAAGTGAAAAATAAATTCTATTCATAATAATAACAAAAACAAAAATAGAGAGAAACCTAATAAGAAGAAAAGAGATCCAACAATCCTAGAAATCCAAAAATCCTGTATATATAGAGAATTCCCCTATCAGATATCCAGAAACCATTATAAAAATAAAATACTCTGGTGATCACAGAAAACAAGTAGATCAAAAGAACAAAATGGAGAACTCAGAAACACCAGCATATGGAGAGATTTAACACAGGATAAGTGTGGTATCTGGAATCAGTTAAAAAAAGGATTTTTTTTTTCAATGAAGGATGTTGGGACAATTAGCTATCCATAAAATACAGAGTAAATACATATGGAATAAAGATAGCCATATAAAAACATAAAACTATAAAATAAAATGTAGGAGACTAGTTTTAGAATTTTGGGGTGGGAATTAAGTAAGACACAAAACTCTGAATAAAGAAAAAAGCCAAAGGAAATGACTATATAAAATTTTAAACTTCTTTTGAGCTAAAAGCATCAAAGACAAATTTAAAATGTAATAGATTAACTGGGAGAAAATCTGGCAACATATGTAAAGCAAGAGGAAAACATCCATAATCTGTAAAGAGCATCTAAAAATCAACAAGGAAGATAAATAATCCAGTCAAAAATATGAGCAAGCAAGATATAGAAAATTAATGTAAATGTCTTACAGAAGAGGAATAGCTATGTTTTTAATAATATGCTAACTATGTTTTTAATAATATCCATTAAAAAGAGAGAGAGATTTGTATATGGTAACATGGGAAGGTTTATAGTCTGTCTTGTTCAGTAAAATAAATCAAGAACACATGGAAAAATAAAATTTATACAATAGTACCATTTCCATAAAATCCCCAAGATAAACAGACCAACAGACTGACCAATGATAAGTAGATAGGTAGAAAGATGGGTAAAAATACTGAACTAAGGGAAGTGAGTGAAGCTGAAGGAGTGAAGACTTGTTTACAATGAAAATGTTCATATACTACTTTTGTAACTAATTATATAACTTAACATTAATATAAAGTAAATATTTTATTGCATTGTAATGAATATTTTCTTTGAGCTAAAATATTTTCCTTTCAAACTACCTTCTTAATAGCACATCCCTCCAACTTTGGAATCTCTAACTCGCTCAACACTGCTCTGCCTGTCTGCCATTGGCATGATTTCTTATGCCACCCCTGTGTTCCTGGTTGCTCTTGTGCCTCTCGGGGTCGCCTTTTATTTTATCCAGAAATACTTTCGAGTGGCTTCTAAGTAAGTAAAACAAAGTTCTATTCATTTTCAAAAGCCTATGTATTTGATTTGCTGTGATTCAGATTTGCTGTAGTGTTTTTCAAGATTAGGTATGGAATTTGGAAATGCAACCTATTTTTAACATGATAAAACCTGTATTATATTTCATTTGGAGATCTATTATAATTGTTTCTGTAATTGGTTGTTTAAGCCCTGGGCATATATTAACATGTGGATTGACATGTTGAGTTTTGAGTCCACAAACTATGCCAAATTTCTCATTCTGTTGTCCTTTTTCTGAACATGACATTGACAGAAAACTTGTAAAACCAAACACAGTTCCAAAGGGTAAGTGACTTCATATTGTTCTATTCCACAAATGGGGAGAAAAGATAAAATATTGTAAAATGCTAAAATGCCTTCTGTAAAAATCTAGAAGAATTTAAAAAGGTTAAAAAGATAAGCCAGAGTGATGACTAGGAAAGTAGATAATCTTGAAATGTCTGATAGAAGAGCTGTAACTCCAAGAGATTGGAACTTTCCAGATTGGATCATTTAACACGTGTTTGAGTACCCAGCCAAATATAAATAAAAGTAGCCATGAATCTTATATTCTTCTATTAACATAAGATTTATCATTTGCTAGATGTACTGTAGTTAAATGAAATGTAGTACCAGTTGTTTTAAAATTTCCAGTTTAGTTTGAAGGCTTTCTATAAATATTACAGTAAATTTTATATCATTGCAATAAGCATCTTATTGCAACAAACACTCAGTAAGCATTCTGTGTTGAAAATAATTGTGTAAGCCATGTGGCAGGTGAAGAGATCCACCTGACAAGAACCTATTCTCAAGAAACTTAGTCTCTGGGGAAAATAAAACATAGATAAGGTAACCCTTGTACGTGGATTAAGTGCTGGAATAAGAAGGTAAATACTGAGTTTATTCAGTAAAATGAGAATACTTAATAGGACTTGAGTGCAAGGAAGATGATGAAAAATTGGGGAAGGTAACAAGAAAATCCAAGACTGTAGTTGGGACCCTCTGAATATATCATATAACATTTTTTAATTTAAAAAAATGTGGTTGTTTCTCCATTTCAGCTATGATTTAGGGTCCTTCAAATGTTAGAGATCTGTATTAAATCTAGAATGTTTTTTCATTCCCTACCTCATCCGCTTTTCTTGTAGCAAACTCAGACCAAAAGGGAGAACTTAGTCATGAGTTCACTCTTTCATTTCTTCTGGTACTATTGCTAATGCTGCTTGCTGGAGGGGCAAGACGTTCAGTTAATTCATTTCTGTTGTTTCTAAATCTATCCTTGTCTTCTTACCATTAAATATTACAGTCATGTCTTACTTCAGTCATGTACCAATTTGGGTCTATTTTTACCCCTTTGCAATACAAATTGAGTGCAAAGGCCAGGCAAATATTCCTAGTCCGTTATAAATTGGAATTGCAAATAATCAAATAAATAAATAAATAATAGGAATTGTGAATTTTGTTCATTATAAGAAAGAACAATCTGTTATTAGCATTGGTAGTGACTAAAATACAAAGATGATCCTTTTTAAAAGAGATTTATTTATTTATTTTAGAGAGAGAATGAGTGGAAGGGGCAGAGGGAGAGAGAATCTCAAGCCAGCTCCGTGCTGAGTGCAGAGCCCCATGTGAGGCTCAATCTTGGGACCCTGAGATCAGGACCTGAGCTGAAACCAAGTGTCAGATGCTTAACCGACTGCGCCACACAGGCACTGCATGGAGGAGATGATCACTTTTGAAGAATTAACACTGATAATAGATTATCAACTATTCTTACTTGAAATTCTTTGAAAGTGAGCAAATATGACCACATGACATTAAATTTCACAGACAAAGAAACCTTTCTAGGGGCGCCTGGGTGGCTCAGTCGGTTAAGCCTCTGCCTTCGGCTCAGGTCGTAATCCCAGGGTCCTGGGATTGAGCCCCACAGTCGGGCTCCCTGCTCAATGGGGAGTCTGCTTCTCCTTTTCCCTCTGCCTGCGGCTCTGCCTACTTGTGCTCTCTCTCTCTGTGTCAAGTAAATAAAGAAATAATCTTAAAAAAAGAACAAAAACTTTTCTAGATGCTGAGGCTCTGCAGGACTTACTCATACAGAAAAGCTCAGGCAATTTAACAGACGTTTTGTAAACACCCAAAGGAATGAAAGTGGGAGACAGGAAATGTCATTGAATTTGGAATCTCTGAAATCAAAGACCTAATGTGTGGTTAGCTATGTAAGGAAGTGTTTCCTACTTACAAGAATACAAGGTCAAGCTATACCCTCACCTTTTTGCTTTCACAAAATATAGTCCTATAAACAAAGGCTTCTCCTTCCTAATTTTTCCCTTCATTACAAACCTCAAATGTAGTGACCACCTGATACTTGTGTCAAATTGACAAATAGCCACTTAATTTTATGTTTAAAGTAGCAAACTGCTCACATTCCTTCATATTCATTTTCCTCCTCCGCTCTTTCTTTCCCTTTCCCCTCTTTCTTTCTATCGCTTCATCTGCAGTTTCTGAAGTGGACAAACCCATTGTAGAAACTCAAAAGAGATTTGCATTTGTTTGTGGCACTACACAGGCCACCCAGAATGGCCCGCGTTAATTGTTGAAGATTATGTAACAGTATAATTCAGTTGACTCTGGAAGGTGAATGTTGATGCTGCAACTCTAAATCCTCAACCCCAAAAACCTAAAAAAATGGCAGAAAAAAAGACTGAAAAGAAAAAAGAGGGATGTTTTGAAACATATGGTATAACTTTTAGCCAATCTTCTAGAAATGCAAGCTTATGTGGTTTAAGGAAATGTTTTCATCAGTAGTGTGCATCTTTATGAAAAGGATGATTCAGGGGTTTGTCCACCAAACAGTCATTGGATATCGTATATATGTAGTTTCTTGGAGGACCTATGAAAAAAAGTTCCATGAAGCATGGAGGCAAGGATTCAAATTCATTGTGGCCAAGGGCAAACTCATTGTCTTTTTCTTCAAATTCCTTTATTCTGTGGCCTCCATCCTGGTAAATAATATGGTCATTTGTCAAGACTGCTAAGCTAGAAAGAACAAAGCCATATTTGACTCTTCTCTCTTACTCACCCTGCTACAATTCATTGATTGTTGCAGTTTAGAAGCCTCCTTTTGGAAGACTATCTTACAATTCTTCCCTTGTTTTAAATCTCACTAGCATCCCAGTAATTCAGAGCTTTAAAAAAATCTCTGATGTAGACTATCCTAACTTACTTAATCTTTTTCATCCTTTGTAGCCTCCCAAGTCATGTTGCTTAAGTATAGCCTGATCATTTTATTTCTAGTCTTCAGTGATTTTGTCCAAGCCACCCAGGATCCTCCACCACCTAGTCCCACCTCTCCTTTATACAGCCATTCCCCACTTCGGCACTTGCAAAGGATTCTTGGCCCCAGCCAGACTGAACCTGCCAGGTTCTTTAGTCTGCGGTGTTTGCTCTTGTTCTCATAGCTGGAATGCACTTCTTCTTGTCTGTTTTATTGAAGCCCTCCTCAAAGCTCAAGATTTGCCCTAAATTCCACCTGCTCAAAAAAAAAAATTATCCATCTCCTAGGTATGAGTTAAATATCCATTCCTTTGTGTCCCCATAGCAGTTTACTATAGTTGTTATACAAAGCAAGTAGTTTTTTTTACAATACAGTATATATTTGGCCTGGACCAAAATTCATTATGTACTCATCTTTCTCTTCCTCTTTAGATTATAAGCTGTTTGAGGTTTTTGTTAACTGGGTTCTAGAAGAAATTAGTTGCAATGACAAGTAAAAACCCTAATTTAGGATGAACACAGTAGTCTCTGAACCTGAAGGCATATGAAGTTAATTTTGCACTTCTCTCTGTTCTAGGGATCTCCAAGAACTTGATGATAGTACCCAGCTCCCTCTGCTTTGCCACTTCTCAGAAACAGCTGAAGGACTCACCACCATTCGGGCATTTAGGTGATCAAACATATTTTCATTTTGCTCATTAGGCAATTACATCATCAACAAATCTATTTGCAAATAACTGATAATTGCTACCATTCTTTGGATGCCCACTGTGTGGGCATGGCAGTGTTCTAAACTAGAAGAGAGAAAAATATGGCAATAAATATTCGGAGTTAGCCTAATCCTCTGAAATTTTAACAAGAATAAAGAAAGAATGAAACGCCATATTGGGAAGATACTAGCTATGTAATATAGACCAGGCTTGTCAATTCCCTAGCCTCAGTTTCCTTATCTGTGAAATGGAGAAATCAGCTTTGCTTCTTAGGGTCATTGGGCTAATTGACAAATGCATGGAAAGCACTAACCATGGTGATTAGCAAAGAAGTACCCAATAAACAAATTAAAATAAGTATATTAATAATAATAATAAAAGAAACACTACTAAAAAATAAAATAAAATAAAAACTATATCAAGTTATTTTAGGATTTAATCAGTTTTCTTCAGTTATTACTGGTTAATAGTAAGAACCCAAGCTTTTGATCAAGAGCATTTGCTTAACACTCAGAAAATTATCTGGCCCTTGTTTTCCCTGTTCAAATAAACTCAGAAGAGAAGGTGGCACCGATGAATATTTCCTTTAATCTTGAAAATTGACATCTTAAAGTATGTCTTCTTGGAACCCTAAATGCAAATATGTAGTGGTTTCAATTAGAGCTTTTTCTAACCTAAGAAATATTTATATTATTATATATATAAACTTGAGCCAAAAAGTAGAATATAGAGATGTAACCACCCACAATATGTATCACAGAATTTCTACATAAATCTACATAGACTTCATCATGAAGATTCACACTTTCTGCAGTGATGTGTTTTCCCATCAGAGTGCCTCTTATTGGAGATGGTAAAGCTATTTATTGATATTGAATGATGATATTAAGACCAAATTTGTATCCTGATAGAAGCCAGCAATGACCAGTGGTACTCATAAGTCTACCATATTAAATACATTTAATAAAAAAATACATTTTTCACCAAATAAGTCCTTTCAAGTTAATCTATTTGAGTATTGAACATATGATAGGTACTACTCTTGATGTGGGTATTTAAAGATTACAAAGACATCACCTTCCACTTCTATCCCAGATAAATACCACAAAGAAAATAGATAGGATAACATGGCAGGTGAGGGGTAAGAAGTGATTGGATTCAGGCAAGCTGGTCAATGGAACAGTAGGATGTTAATGGGTTCAACATATAACAGCCTCTGCTCTGTTTTCTCCCTGAACAAGGTGAGGTTATTTTTTCTAAGAGTGATGAGGACTAGAATCAGGTAAATCGTCTTGAAGGAAATAACAATTTAGAATGACAGAGGAACTTGACCACGAGTCAAGGGTTAGGCTTTTCTTTTACCTTCTTCACTAGACACATGGACAGAATTTAGCATGACTGTTCCTAATTTTACATGAGGAAGGGTCTAGGTAGTTGTAAGAAGAACAAAACACTATGTGTTAAACTTTCAAGCCTTGAATTATGACTGGAAGAAACAAAAGACAACCCAACTTTTTATGGAGAAGTATCTGCGTCATATTCATTCAGATTTACATCTTCCAGCATTCATTTCTAAAGTAAATATTAAGTACCACAAATATCAGCATTTTTAAACCAAAGGAAGTTTTAAAATGTGGGACAGTCCTGCTGTCATGAATAAAATTCTAGAGTCTTTACGTTTGGTGCTTTTGGTCAAGAATCAAACATGTTCTTTCCATCCATTTCTTCCTTTCTTTCAGGCTACCCAGAGTCCCCAGAGTCTTCAGTTCTTTTGGAAAGTTAGTATTTACTGATTAGGCTGCTTTTCCTCCCCTGCATTCAGGGTTCGTGGTGTACTCATATGTGGCAGTGAACTCCCTCAAGTAGTTTACCACGAAAGTATCACAGTTAAATTAGACTGAGATTTCAGTGACCTTTCCTATTTTTTTTTTTTTTTTTGGTCCAACAGAATAAAGGTTTAAGAATGTTCAGAAGATGAGCTGGATGTGGATGAAAAGATACAGACTGAGTGTGTCAAAGTTTCCATTAGGAAAACAGAAGGTTTCTTGCCAAATAGAAACACACAGAAAGAATGTTCACTGCATTTCCACCCCTCCCCTCTCGCTGCTGCTTCAGACCATTGCCAATTCCATTTACAAACTCTTTAAGAGTGCATCTGAAACAATATCCCAAAACTAAATGAAGAGTAAGAAGCGTCCCAGACAAAGCACTTTGTCAGAATAAAGTGTTTGATGTTTATCTCAAATGTGGCCCAGTGGCTTTTGTCCAATGGGCCCCACCTCCGATCTCCGCATTACCACTGTCCTCTAGGGAGAGAACCTTGTCTTGAGCCCCTGAACGTGATGAGTTTTCTCATTTCTGTGCCTTTGCTCATGTTGTTCCTACTGCTTCCAATGCTTTGTCCTCTCTTGTTCACCTGAAGAATTCAGCTCATCCTTTAAAACCGCACTCAGATCATCCTCCCCGTCCTCAGTGAAACTTGGCTTAATCCTCCTTCTCTCCCCATCCTCACCTCATTCCCTGTGCAAATCACCCCCTTCCTTTATATTCAAGTAGCATTTTGTGCACAGGGCCATTATAACCAGCTTCTGTGTTTCACGGTCCTTGCTTGTTAACACCGTGTTTACCTCCTTCCCTAAACACTGGGCTCCTCAAGGGCAGAGGTTATGTATTGTATATATATATATATATATATATATATATATATAGTCTCGCATAGAGTTGGTGCTTGCTAAATGTTTCTGAATGAACGGCTGAAAATCTTCCTAACACTGCAAATACAGAAAGGTGGTTCCTTACATAGATATTATCTCATTACAGTTCATATCCACTATTGCAGAAAATCCTCTAATCCTGTGGGCCATCCTCCCTTTTCCTTATTCACTCTCTTCATCTCTAAAGGGGCCATCCCAGGACAAGGTAACCATGTTCCCGGGACTGCTCAGCCCCACTCGAGTGTGTTGCTCTTCAGTGTAGGTCCTCCTGTACATGACATTTAGGTCAAGACTGCAAACTCATAACTCAAAGTGAGGTAATTATTTGGCTCCGATTGCCAAATCCTTTGATTATTGTAGATCAGATGTTGTCTGACTCAGTTATCTGATTTATCTGGTTTGGCATATTGGAATGATCAGATGGATTGGACAGATATCAAATATCTGCTTTATATTGGCCTGTATGGATGGCTTCGTGGGCCAAGTGATCGCCCCACCCAGGACTTCTTCGTGCATTTGACATAGTGATGGTTTAATATAAAGTTTTGCAAATTGATTTGAAGATTTGGGGAACTTGGGGCAGTCTTTTATCAAACAGGAATCATTGCTGGACTGTCAAATGAAACTTGGCTATTCCTTAGGAATGTAATGCACAGACAAGTGGTCCATATAAGAACAGTCACAGCCAGAGAGTGAATAGACCACATTTTGATTTGGCATTTCTTCCAACCTTCCAACCAGTTATTTTGATTATATTATCCAGCTTTCCATTGTTTCTGTTATTCAGAGAAAATAACTGAAAAATGAAAAGAGACTATTTTTGTTATTTAGAAAGATTTATCACCATGGAGCATAAGTTCTCTGAGAAAGTAGTTCACATGATCAGATGGATAAAATTCTTATTAGAAGTTTCATTTATAACACGGATTACCCAGAGGGTAATCGGTCTGATGATGTTGATTTCCAAGAATGAACTTAATTTAGCCAGGGATCGATATCTAAACTGTATTTGTCATAAAATCCTGTAAGTACCATAGACTGAGGGCTCCTTTTGTGCAGTGACCATCCTTACAAATATTTTAGAACCTTGAGCATAAGATTTCTCATCTAACAAGAACATCTGCTGCCTCCAAGGACCCCCATCCTCTACTTCTTTCCACTCAGTTTCCTTCTTTGGTTCCCAGAAACACCGGCAGAAGGAGACATTTAAAAGTATATATTTGCCGGTAACACATGCATCATTTCCAGTCTTCCCTGGTCCTCGTCCAGCACCTCCCACCCACCTCTAACTGTGTTATTTGGAAAAGTAAAAAGTGCAATAAAATGTAGGTAGAGCATATTGTATTTCTGTACAACTTACTCTGGTTTTTGTAAGGCCCTTGCAACATAGGCCATGCCTTGTTTTTGTGGCCGCAAAATTATGTGGAAATTTATGAAGTGATCCTTAATAGGAATTTGTCATTAGAAAGCTTCCTTTTCATAGCAGGGGTCTGAGAAAGGAAGAAACCCCGGACCACACCCTCTCCAATAAGCGTGCAGCAAAGCAGTAGCAGCTGGCCTTTATTTTGAAGTAGGAATCAATTTACTAGTCATTCCATCCCATCCATTTGTCACTGTGTTGAGTAAATAGTGTAGTAGTAAGTGTGACTGTTTCTTATTATTTTTCCCGTTGTGTGGCTAGCATGATAATATTTTTGTTCTCTCCAGGCATGAAACCAGATTTAAGCAACGTATGCTGGAACTGACGGACACAAACAACATTGCCTACTTATTTCTCTCAGCAGCCAACAGATGGCTGGAGGTCAGAACGGTACGTTCATTTCATGATTTCGAAATGGAAACTAAACTGATGCAAAGGCTGATGCAAAGAGGGAGACAGTTGTAAAAATTAGTCTTGCACCGAGATTCACGCTAACTTTGCTTTTTCTGGACGTTAAAATAGCTCAGGTTTGTTTATGTTACAGGTGAAATTTGTCATAATGCTTTAGCTAATGACAAGACAAATAGCCCAAAAAGCAAAAATTCATTTTGTGTTCATTAGTCTCTAGATTACGTAAGTTAATGGAATGGCAAATGTTTGTATAACAATTTTTTTTCAAAAGAGCAAATTTGACAAGTGAACAGATGTACTCGTTTCCTTCACTGAACAGAACAGGCCTGGAAGAGATGGTGACTTTCTATGTTTTAAGCCAGTGGAGGATCACGTTAGCACAAAACATAAAAAACTGCAATTAATTATCTGTTGCCTTCTTCTGTCCCTTATAAAGGAGGATGCTTTGGCATCATACAGACTTGATCTAGCAAGTTAATTAATTTGAGTCCGTTCCTCATCTGTAAAATAGGAATAAGAATATGTACTTTATGGGGTTATTAGGATGAAAAATAATAATATAAGTCCCCTAGTTCACTGATTCGCAGGTGCACTCAACAAATGTCTTTTGAATGAATGGATGAATAAATAAGTGAATGGAAACAGCACCTGCTGTGGTAAGTGGTTCATAAGCCAACCAGCTGGAGTATGAACGAGGAGACAGATGGGACACAAGTTCCAGGAAGGAAGGAAATGTAGTTTGCAGACCGGTCTACATAATCTGCACTATAAATAAGCCACTTTGGTGGTAATGATGAGTTGTCTGTAATCTTTTTAAAAAAAATAATTATCTATCGGGGAGCCTGGGTGGCTCAGTCGGTTAAGCACCTACCCTCAGCTCAGGTCATGATCTTGGGGTGCTGGGATGGAGCCCTGCATCAGGCTCTCTGCTCAGCCGGGAGTCTGTTTTTCCCTGTCCCTCTTCCTCCACTCCTCACCCCGCTTGTGCTCTCTCTCCATCAAATAAATAAAAATCTTTAAAAACATAAAATAAAAAATAATTATCTATCCATTTGTCAAAAGGGAAAGGAAGTTTATCTGTACTATTATAAGGATATCACGTCTACTAATTAAGCATCCCTAGTATATTCAGGCTTTCAAAACTCAACAGACCAAAGAAGGCAGATAGTAAAAGGAATTTGATGAGATGGAAATGAAGGAGCCCAAGTTATAAGCTGAGTTGTTGATGGATGGATACAGGTGGATATGAATTCTTGGACCCCCTGTGAGCTTTACTTGTCATGATTTCCCACTGGCTTACAGAGATTCTCTTCCACTATATTAGTTATAATGTAGAAATTATTCAGTGACATAACACAATTATATTTTACAAATTTTAGGTAGAAACATTGGTTGTTGATAAGAAATTCCTTCCAGGTAGCTGTGGGGGCAGGGCAAAATGTCTCCTGAATTACCTATAGATAGCATAAAGGCGGATGAAGTGTTGCTTGGGATTTATAACAAAACTAAGACATTATTCCTAGATCCTATCCAGACCCTAATTCCTTGTTTTAAGCTTCTATTTGTTTGTTTAAATTTGTTTTCTCTAAGGAAGAAAAAAACCCCAATCTTTTCTGAAAAACAGAACTAATCACGCAGTAGCTTAGTGAAAGAATGTCCCCCAATCATAAGAGAAAATGTCAGTGGTTACATTTGTTATTTGATTTTTCTTAACTTGGACATCAAGCAGGTTTTTTTAGGGGGCAAGAGTGTTTGCTTTGGACTTGAGGTGAATGTCTGACTTGACTCCTGTTACTGCTCTTTAGCACTTCCTACTGTCAGGTTAATGGACAAGTGTTTAACAAGAATCTTCAAGCAAACCATATGTTCTGCTCTCCTAGCCAAAAGACAAGATATTAGAGCCTTCAGACTGCCAAGAAAGGAGAGGTCAGGAGAAATTAAAGAGGAAGAGTGGCCAGATTCAGAATGGCTTGGTTCAGTTTGACTCATAGCTCATTACTTTAACCCCCATGTGAAAAGGCGGCGGACCAACCCAAATGTGAAAACGTTCTAGTTCCAGCTGTAGAGACCTAAAGAAAATACTGATGTTTGAAACAGGAAGGGCAGGTTCTGCCATCCATTCTGTTCCTTGATAATACATTTGTTAGTGTGTCTTGTGTTTGTTTGCTGTGTATTATGATCCTTCCAAGAATTTCTGTCTAGTCTCATTACCAGAGCTCTCCCTTAAAAACCAATACCAAAAAAAAAAAAAAAAAAAGGAATCTTTTGCTTCTGTTTCTGATGGGTAAAGGTAAGTTTTGGTAAGGAACTTGTTGATTTATTGCAAAATTTCAGGTATCTCTGATGACAGAAATCAAGGTCCAAAGTCTTGTATGTGTATGATTTGTCTCCTTTGCCTAATTGTGTGCGTCAGTAAGTTTATGTGGGTATGCATACACACATATGCACACACACCCCTCTAGACAATCCCAGTGATCCAACTTAAAACTAGTCAGATTCACTCTCTTTCTTTCTTCTGAGTATTTTGAGAGTGTTCATTAGAACCAGGATATTATTTAGAATGTGTGAATATCATAATCTTTATTCGAATATAAGTGTGTAATTCAAGAACATATACTACAGTAAAAGTATTGAATAAGTTAACTCAATAACTCCTATGAGGAAATAACCTTTCTCCCAATTACACATATAAATGACCTCCTTACTACTGTGATCCTGTGGACACATCCACATCACTGGAGACACAATTTCAGTTTGAAATAAATGGATCTTGTGTCAGGAACATGAATGTTGAGATACAGGACCTTGGAGACTAGGGTGTGAACTGTTCTCTGACCCCCACAGCTGGACATATTCTGCCTTGTAAGTCGTTAGAAAAATAAGTAATGAAAACTTCTATTTGGTCCAGTGAGTCTGCATTGATCTTACTTACCCACAGTATCAACACAACCTCTCCTTTCTCTATTCTTTGCCATATTCCTCAGTTAGCAAAAATATTTGCTTATAACACATTTTCTTAGAGTTTCCAGAGCAGAAACACAACTAAAATGGTACAAGGAAGGTTGAGGCATTGGGCATAAATCAGAAGAAGCAAGCAGGATTTCCTGAGGCAGATCTGGGGATTTCACCAACTCTAATTCATGGACTCATCACCTTCATGAAGAGAAAGAGGAGAAAATGTATCATAGCTTTCTGTGCCTATTTTTCACTTCCACTGAATTCCCTGGACAGAAAATCTCAAGGAGAAGGAAGGAAGAAGAACCAGAGAAAAACACCTCTTGTGGGATTCTGGAATATCCAGGAGCCCCATCCAATTTTTGTTTATTTTCTAATTTATTTTAAATATATCGCTCTCGTTTCTTTTCCTGGTCAAGTTAAGAAAAGAGCTAAGACAATCACAAGTTATTCCCTTTCTCTTAGTAAACAGCTTTCCCTATGGAAGATATAGCCCTACCCACCATAGTCACTTCATATTCACTCCAAATTAGGAAAAAAATAAAGGTCACAATACACTCACATCAAAAAAGGACAAGAGTCTAAAAGAATAAAATAATTTGGCTGGTGGGAAAGGAGCTAGACTGTGACCACCCGGCTTGCTTTGGCAGAGAGGGGAGTGTTTTTCCTCTGGGTGCCAAGTGAAGTGGACCACAGTTGTGTGCAGTGTGTCGCTGCAGCCTAACCTTTGAATGCTGCTTACGTTCTTTTGTTCAGCACGGCGTTTTCTCTTCAGCCCTCTGCACTAAACAGTTCCAGTTCTTTGGCATTGGTGTTTCCATTTGCGAAAATTGTGTAACTCTATCTAAAGGCTGTGTTTCCAAGGCTTTGTCTTGCTGTGTGGTGAAAGGATGAAAGAAAATTCACATCAGGAAGCCAACAAAAAAAAAGTCTTTAGAATCAACAGGATCAAGTGAAAAGAGCCTTCAGGGTGAGCTTGCACGAGAGTCGATTTTATGAAACAGCACAGAGCTTTTTTGTGTGTTCATAACTCCACCACAGACAGGTGCGCACTGACCTTGTCATTGGGAGGCCCTGATATATGCTCCCAGATACTCAGTGGTACCATAGACTGGTACTTCTGAGGGCTACGTAAGGAAAGAGATTGTGTTACTTTTAACTATTTGCAAGTCTGTTTTATAGAAAATTACAGTTTTCACTATAATTCTATAGATGGATACATGTCCTTGAATCACTAGAAATCTGAGAACAGGCCTCTCTTTTGACTTGGAAATCAAAGGCTTCTCCCTGGGGGGAGTGTTGAATTCACAAACTCGTTGGAAGTTATAATTTATCACTATACAGATACAGTGTCCGGACGTGGAGCCCTCTTTGAGAACTGGCAATTCCCATATGCAGTAGCTTCTGTTTCCTAAGTTGAATCTCTCATTCCATTGTATCCTTTTGACCACAGGTGTGTTTTCATTGAGTTGATTGGTTAGGATGTGTAAGGACTAAGCAGTAGAATGAATGTTGCTAGTGATCCCTAAGTACTTTTCCTCCTTTGTGTGGGTTATTCAGACCAGCTGCTTCTCCTTTCTTAATTTATTGCCTTGAAACCATTTTGTTGTTGGCATATTTGCAGAGAAAAGAAAGAAGGTATAACTATAGAATCACTTTGTAATTCATTAAACTTAAGTTTGATGGTGAATGAAGTGATGGATGCCTGGGTGGCTCAGTCGGTTAAGCGACTGCCTTTGGTTCAGGTCGTGATCCCAGAGTCCTGGGATCGAGTCCCACTTTGGGCTCCTTGCACAGTGGGGAGTCTGCTTACCTCCCTGCCTATTGCTCCCCCAGCTTGTGTGCGCACTCTCTCTCTCTCTCTGTCTCTGTGACAAATAAATCAATAAAATCCTTTAAAATATGGTAAAGGAAGTGAAAATAGGGAGCTAACAAGCTCTTACTATCTATCAATTCCACATATCTATATTCTTGTACAATTTGAAGGGAATTAATGGAATTTAGTGATTTTGCTATGAGTCTTC